GTGTGCCTTGGCAGTCTAACAAGCCTTTTGGTTTTTCAAATAGAGAGGGTTACAAACTCTGTTAATCATTATTCATACCTTGTTTGTTCGTATTTATTGTGTTAATGTTTTCCTATGAACCGTTATACATATGCACCGGACAATGAGTGGTTCATTGAGACCATGAGCACGGTGTTTTCAGTGGGAGGAGACACGATGCAGCCGGACATCCCCAACAGTTTCCTGAAACTCCTGTCTGAGGGTGAGATACCCCAACACTTACTTACAGTCATTTGATACCGATATTTATTATCATTTTGCAATGCAATTGTTTCCTCTAATGACCCAGGGTTTGACAGCGTGGAGGAAGACAGGAAGTTGAGGCTGTTTGCTGTGGATTCGTATGTTTCTCTGCTGCAAGGAGAGCCTGGCAAACTGCCTCAGCGCTTCCTCCAAGTCATCAGCTGGGTGAGTGCTAGTGGGACAAAGAGCAGTTTGTATAAATGTTCTGAAATGATAAGAAGAACAAAAAGCAGCGTAACCCAAAAGGTCTGGTTTAATTCATACTCTACTTATAACTTCACAATATGCAGGCATTTAAAAGAAGATAAAAGACAGAATCAGAACAGGAATGCTTTTTGGTCCCCAGGAGGAATTAGGTTTTCAGACCGTTTAGAATAAAAGGCAGTAAAATAAAAAAAGAAATGTTATACTGCAATCCCCTTAGAGAAACCATATCATTTAAATGTGGGAATGCTCTAAAACAGCAGTTTTCAAAGTGTGAGGCGCGCCTCCCCTGGGGGGCGCCAGAGAGCTTCAGGGGAGGCGCAGCGTGAGACACAAAAGAAAGAGAAAAAGACGAGTAAAGTTTGCCCACTTGTGGCTGTCTGTGGAGACCGAGTTTCCCCACCCCGCCAAAAAGGCTGTAAAAGTGCTCATTCCCTTCACCTCCACCTACCTGTGTGAGTGCAGGTTTTCCGCATTGACTTTGATCAAAAGCAAGTACCGGTAAAGGCTGCAGCCAGAGTATGATCTGCGTTTATTCCTCTGTGCATCAAAGACGCAGACTCATTGTTCCCACTAAAGTAGGGGTGAGTGTAATAAGGAGGCAAAGTTACGTTCAGTGTGTTCGGGAGCATATAAGGATTTATCCACCATGTTGAAAATGTTAAAAAAAAAGTGTCTTGAGAACACGGCGTGCGGAAATATACGGATCGTGCTGCAGCTAGATGTGCCTGTCCTCTGTAAGAAGGTGTCGGCGACTGACATGCAAGGAAGAACGGCTGTCCACAGGCTGGTCCAACTTTAACAACTGTATTAACTTCCAGGGTAGTGAATTGAACATGCAATTGTAATTGGGTGTGTGGTATATTTTCATGCACGGACACGCATGTTCCACAACACACAAACTGAACAACACTCAATGTTCCGATCGCTACCAGGTCCTTGCGATCTTGTTATAATAACAAGTGCACGTTACTGATGCAATATGGTTGAGACCAGTTCGGGCTTATTCTAGAGGGGTGCAAGGAATAGTCCAAGTATGGGGGAGTTTTATACAATATGTTTAAAACATAAAATAAAAAGGTTTAAAAAAGTTAATTGTTTTAATGTTTTTAAGGAGGTGACGCTACTCAGCCAATCAAATCGGTGCAGTCAGCACGATAGATTCAAACACACACACACACAGACGAGACAAGAGGAGAGAAACAGTCGGAGTAATTTCAAATGGCGGAAGGTAGACAGCGAAAACAAAGCATTTAATTACATTTTCTCTTACTGGACCTCTTTGAAATGCAATTGAATACCCTTGCATTATAGCAACAACAACAATAATAATAATAACAGCAATAATAATTGGGAGGGGGGGCGCGGCTGTTCTTATGTTCTCTGAGGGGAGGGCTCACCTACCCACACTTTGAAAACCCCTGCTGTAGATAAGACACATAAAGATAGTTGAGACAACTCAAAGCTTCCAGATAAATGAACAATACAG